ATATCTGTTCAAAAAATGATTTTCCCTGGCTCCACAGCTTTGAGAATCCTTTATCTCCATCCTTTATCCAAAGCATTCTAAACACCATGTCTCTTGAAAGCAGTTTTCATATGCTGTTGTCTCAAAACAGGAGACTTCGGGTGTGGACAAAGGATCAACCCTTTACCTAGTTTCTACAGGTAAGCTTTGGTCATGCACAGAAACAGCCTGTGTTTGATGCTGGCTTCTCTTGGCCAGTTTGAGTTATGAGCACTGTTCTGCCAGGGCTTCTCAGCCAAGGTCTTAACCATTGAAACTCAACCATGCCTTGCCCAGGCTGACCGCTCTATTAGGGACTTTCATGGTGATTTGTTCCTTTGGCATATAGCTCTACTACCTTCCACCCTCTGGCTTCTTGCTTATAGCCACCACATACTTGTAATTAACATCTGGGATTGTGAACTACTCTACTCTTCCAGGTACTAAATTTGTGGTTTTACCTCCTACATCCTCAATTCCAGTTGAAGGTGGTATAGGCTACACTAACAAGGAGATCCATCTCACTCACAGTTAAAATGGCAATGGATTTTCTAATCATAATACCATGTATAACTATATTGCATACCCTTCAGAATGCCCTAATGTTTACTGCATGATGTTAACCCTGCATTCTTTTCCTGCTCCTCACAACATATGTCTCCCCTTAAGCAGTATAATGAATAACTCAGGAAAGACAGTAGCATTATCAACCAACTCATCATTCTTTAGGAATTAACCATCATGCATAAATATAGGCTAAACAACTTTTCTATTTCAGAAGAAGCATAACTCTGCCATCTGAAACAAACCCTTTGATATAATTACTCTCTAATTATTATGGGATTTTAATCTCATCATTGGCGCATGAAAACTGCTTTCAAATGTTGGAGAGACATGTCATAAAATATTCATATTCTGGATAGCCCTAAGGAGTAGACTAAGTGGAAATTAGAGTGAGCGAGAAAAAAAAACAGTTTAGTATAGGAAAGAATGTTTCAATTCCAGAACTAACTCGTTTTAGTAGTTGATGATATTTCTGTCACTCTGGTGAGCTAACCAGCACAGGGTTGAAATATCAGAGCTCAGCATCCAAAAGACTATTTTAGTCTGGAACAAAGAATCTTCTGTTTGAACGTATGAGTTCCTAGTCAAGAGCCCTTCTCTGAGAGTCTTGGGATACTTTCTTTATGTTCACTTTCTGCATCATGAGCAAAACCATCTGGTCTACCATTTGGTCTGCCCTGACAATCTGGAGCTCCTAAGTGCAGTTCACTGGCAGAATTGCCTTAGGTCTCTAAGGAGACTTACTCCCATAGCAGAGCTATGACTAATACCTCAAGGATTGATGCTAAATTTTCTTTTTTATCTAGCTGATTGCCAAATGTACCTGTGCTGGCTTTCTAGTGAGTGAAAGTACTTCCTATGAGCTGTAAAAGTTTCTTCCTGACCTACCAGTCTTACCTTTATTCTTTTTTATTCATGGGGTGCTGGTCCTCATTTATGAGCATTTAACTATATATTTAGTTTTTGCTAACATCATTTTTCCCAAACTTAAGTATTAATAGAATTGTATTTTTTTTTCTGAGTAAGTCTTATTTTCATACAAGATGAGAAAACAAATGTGTGTCTAGAAATATACCTGAGCTGGGAGGGTTGCAATAAAAAAAAGCTAACTTAAATCATTGGGAGATTAACAATTTTTTTCTTTTCTTAAAGAAGAAAGATTGGGCATATCTGCTTAGAAAGAAGACAGTTCATACGGAGATTGAAATTATAAGTTTTAATAAGATGGAGGTGAAAATTTCTATTTATTTTGAAATATTAGCTTGTTCACAGTTACTTTAAGAAGTGAGTTTTCAATAATGTCACTCTTTGTTAACAATGTTTATAACTTCACTATCTTCTCTTCATCAGTCCATCTAATTCAAGTATTGTTTTTACTTGAACTCCATGAATCACTCTGCAACAATAATCCAGAAAGAAAAACATTCTAAGTGTTCAGACCTCATGAAAAACCCTATCAATTGAAAACATTGATTTTAAAAAGTGATAGAGAGTTGAACTTATGATGCCTTCAAATTTCTCTTCTTTCACTCGAGGTTCTTTTCGCTTTTAAAAACTCTACATTGAGCAAAATGTTGAGGTTAGATGCATGAGGAATTCTGGGAAACCATTCTCCACCCTTGAAGTCTGACACAGCTTCAAACATGCAGAATGCTGCCTGGGATTCACCTTAGAATGAGATTTTCTGAGCACTGAGCTCAAAATCATGCCCTATCCTGGACAGTGAATGTGAAGCACTTTCCTTAAAGTCAAGGGCCAGTGGTTCATAGGCTGACTTGAAAATGAATTTAAAAACTCTCTCAACTAAGGTATTCCTTTTATAAGAAATAATTTACCTAACTTTGATACTTAACATACATTAATTTTACTGCATTGTAGATACAAGCAATACTTAAACTTCTCTAGAAGACTGCTCCTATGGCCAAGCAAATATTCAACCACAAGACATTGGGAGGGACAAGGACCAGGGAGCTGCTGTAAGTGCAGAGAGAGTTAATTTGCTTGGTTCTCTCCCACCAACATTAATTGGCTTCTGGTGGACCAGGCTGTGCTACTGATTACATTAGAGTGACTTTGGTTGTTGGGCAGTATCAGTATTTGGGAGGGTAGCATATGCCCTGAGAAAGTCAGTAGAAAAGGAAAAGCAATTGACTTTTATAGCAAAAACTTGGATCATACAAGATAAAAGTTGTTTTTTTTTAAGCTTAAAATAAAGCTCTGGAATTTCTATGTTGAAGCTTGAATTAATCTTTGTAAAAGATCAAAGCTTGACACTGACAACCTGTTTTAAGGAGGAATTTCATGAATATAATTCAGAGGTCTCCAACTAATATTTTTAATTTTAAATTGATTATAATTGTGCCAGAAAACACAGTAGTTGCTAATGCATATGATAGTAACCAATAGTAATATACATTTCTTTAGACTTGTATAAATCATTACACATCTCAGTTTTTGGTACTAAGTAGTCTTAAAAGTATACAGAGTAATACAAACTCTGAAAAACGTAAATAAAATGGCAAAATCCAACAAATAAACCAAGTGAAAACTTTCTCCTTAACTTTAGTAAATATGCATTGAAAAATATTCATGATACCAAATTCTAAAACTAGAAATCTTAATAAATGTTCCAAATCCAGGTATTTTTAAAACCTGACATAATAAGGAGGAAATCATCAGTATGCTTGATGTAGTGTTAGAATACCAACTTCCAACAGGATACCCAAGATGCAAGGGGAGCCTCTGTCTCCTCTGCATCCTCTGTCCCGATGGCTTCCTTCTCTGCATGGCTGCTCTGTTTCCTCAGTATCCCTTTAAAGTTTACCTAAGATCTGCATTCTCCTCTATCTGCGTCATTTTAGCTGGTCCCTTATTGGAACCACAGTGACCTATAAGATGTTGCTGGAGTTCTTGACTAGGTTACCTTTGCCTTGCATAACGATGAAGTACTTTTAAAAACTCAGAATATAAATTATTTCTCACCCAGACCATTCTTTCCTCTGTTAATCTCCCTCCACTTTCAACTGTATAGTTGACACTTTAGTGATCAGGAAGTGACTCTTTCTCACCTCATGCATCCAGAAATTTCTCCATGCCTTTTCTTTTTGTTTTTTATTTTGTGAATAACTATTTTATTTCCAACATAGTATTTTTATTGATTATTTGGGAATTTCACACAATCACACTAGCTTCCCAGTCCCCCCAGGCCCACTCCCCCAACTTTTGAGCTATCTCTTCTCCTGAAAAAAGAGACAAAAATACTCCAAGTACAATTTGTGTTTCCCATGGACTCATATGCCTTTTCTTGACTGGAATGTTCTCCTCAGTTTCCTGCACTTCTTTATATAAGCAGTTTTACTTTCCTGTCATATCTAAGTTCCTGAGCCACACTAAACTATGATGCCCTTCTTTGTGATTCCCAGATATTCTATGAATATATCAATCACAGAATTTTTGATAGTATACGGAAATTATCCGTTACTGAGCCTAATACTATTTCTGACAAGAAGAGACTTAAGGCATTGTCAAAGCAATTGAAAATCTTGTTGAATTCTAGAAACTTACTGATAGTTTAAAAATAATCAACCACCTGAGTAAAGTGAATTTAATGTTCTAATTTTTTAAATAGTTTGCCTCAAGCAAATGTTTGTTCATAGGTAGAGCTCCAGAGCTTGTCTTAGCAGACTGGCTTATTGCCTGGAACTATGTCAGTGCTTTGCCTGAAGCACAATGTGATTGTTCAGCAGTAGGTGATGTGGCGGGTCTCCAGGTGTGTGTGAATCCATGCTCTTTTGTATTAGACTTCTATAATTGTGATGGTGAAAAATAATATGATTTGGTTCAGTAACCTTAAACTAGCAGTACATTTCTGTTGATCTGTATCCTAAAGTCCTTATTATCTTATATTTTCAGCATGGGAGAATATGAACAGAATCTTCCTACTCCAAAAGAGAGAGTTCCACATGCCAAATAAATGACGGTCATGGATCACCCTGTGTATCATTCTCCAGAGCTATCCCCTGCCCTACATTACCTGCATCTCTCAAGTAGCAGTGATTTTCAGTTTATAACTGCACTAATTTCATCTCAACATACCAGTATAATAATATCCACAGGACAATTTTCAAACAAAGAAAGTTTGGCTTACACCAAAGATGGATAGTAAGATTTTACTTATTTATTAATGACAGCTATATTTATCATATCCTTTTTGTCTTATATTCTATAAAGAAGATACAATATAAAACTAATAGAATATTTATTTTAAAGATATTGAAGGTTTTTAGAATAATTGCATTTTTAGGAAAGGATATTACAGAATTAAACATTACAGAATATACCATCTACATGTCTCTGAGTGACTCATTCACATCCTCTCCACCTCATTCCAGAGTCCACCAATAAGAACTATTCCTTACTTGGTATTGTGTGTGTCAATGGTGTGGAAGAGTTCATGTAGTTCTTCTCCACTGAGAACTCCATCTGCAAAATATGCTTTAAATTCCTCGAAGGACAATTTTCCATCATCTGAAATAAGAACAAACAGAAAAGAAGCAAATCAATGTCATATGCTGGTCTACTCTTGATTTTTAAAACTTACTCCTAGTGTTTGTGCCTGTCCTATTTATGCGGGGCACACATACATTTAAAAAAGAATGAATGAAAGAAAAAAGAAAGAAAGGAGGCAAGGAAGGAAGGAAAGAGAGAGAAAGGAAGGAAGGGAAGAAGGAAGAAGAAGAAGAAGAAGAAGAAGAAGAAGAAGAAGAAGAAGAAGAAGAAGAAGAAGAAGAAGAAGAAGAAGAAGGAGAGATGTTTGAAGTGTTAAAAAGAAAAGAAACCAATTTACTATCTCTTTATTGGATAAAGAAACCGATGAATGCACTGATGTATGTCTTCTTGGTTTTGAATATTTTTGGCTGGTTTATTGCCTTCACAAACATTTAACATTTAAGGAAACATTTACCTAGTCACAGAAAATGATATCCACACAGTAACCTAAGGGCCAAGCAGATGTTTCACTTACATGACACCAAGCCCACACAGAATCTATCAGACTGCAGGATAAATACTAGATGCTTAACAAGTATGCTTTGATTGAATATTTACACAAGTATATAAGTTACCGTAATTCAACAAACTACGTTTATTGTTGTAGTCATTAAACTAGTGAGTACTTTTAAAGCTAAACACATTTTTCTTATTTGGGACACAGTAGCAGAACACAATCAGAGTCTAATAAAAGATAAAATGTACAGACATAGCATACGTATTTTTGCACAGCTAGGAACTGTAAATTCAACAGGAGACAGATGCACTTTAAAGGTATGGGAATTCGAGTAATGGATTCTTTTCACTTCTAAGAGTGAGGGGCAGGGTTAGTATCATTTACACCTGACTTTGAATAAAAGCTCCAGATAAGCATAGCTGGAAAAAAAATCCACACACATTATCAACATGCAAACTATCTACAAAGGGCACAGAAACAACAAATCTGAAGGAGTGAAGGGCACCCCAGGGAGAGTGAGCATCCTTTGCTGTGCACAGTCATCTATCAGCTTTTTCAGAGAGGCTGCCAAATGACTCTAAGTGATGGAATAAGCCTTCGCATTTATAACACAGGAGCCTACTCAGGCAGACCAGAGAAAGAAGTTGCCCAGGATCACAAAGCTGCTCACGCAGACCAACCGGCAATACTGCAATAAATAAAATAGAGTCCTGTCACTGAATAAAAAGTATGATTTAATAGGACTAGACCATCAAGATTATTTAGAGCAATTTTCCAACAGATGGTCCCAGACTGCCTGAAGTACTGTTTAAATGCTGGTTCCTGGGTGCTGCCCTAGCATCAGAATCACACAGGAGCTCAGAGTGTGGGTCAGCAAGATGGATGATTTTTAACAGCCTGTACAGCTTCTCCTTGCATTCCAGGAGGTTTTACTACAAAGGAAACAGCAGGCCTGCATTACTCAGTTCTTCAGTAAAGACTTAAAGACTGGGGTAGTTTTAAAGATCCTAGTTGGTGAAATACAGATCCTTGAGAGATCTTAATTTTCATTTCACTTTGCTTTTTCATTGAACAGTCACAATACACCGAGCTTCCACTTCACTCTTGCTAACAGTTAGCAGAGACGATGTGGTCATCCACGTGATAAAAATCTGGATCTGGATCAAGCTTACAAAGCATCCCTGACCTGAGTGACCTCCTGGGCCAGTTACTCTCAGCCATGCAACCCCAGCATAGCTCAGCGCAGTGAGAAGATCAACACACCGGCTTCTCTATTGTCCGATCCATGCTTGTTTTTTAGTGAGCTATGGAAATTTAGCCCCATTCCGCCTACTGTATAGCTGGATTGCATCTTCTTATTTTGATAAAGAAATAAATAAGCAAGTAGAAGGAGAAATTGTTGATCAACTAGGTCTACAGTCAGCTGTAGTGGTGCACACCTGATATGACAGCACTCAAGAAAATCTAAATTCCAAGCTACCAAGTAAGGGCCTGCCTATAAGCAAACAAACAAATTAATTAAAGAGGAAAAACTATAAATGAACATACTATTTTCTCTACTGTCGCTGTGCTATGCAGTAAATATGACCTTACAAACTGATAATGGGATGTTTCTTTTTTTATATATTTCAGGTTTTATTTTATTTTTCTTTATTAAGAAATTTTCTACTCACTCCTCATGCTATCCACAGACCCCCCCCCACTCCTCCCTCCTCCCACCCCCAGCCCTCTTTCCCAAGCCACCCTGAATCCCCACATCCCCCAAGTCAAGGTCTCCCATGGGGAGTCAGCAGAGCCCAGCTCACTGAGCCTAGCCAGGTCCAAGCCCCTCCCCACTGCACCAAGGCTGTGCAAGGTGTCACACCACAGGCACCGGATTCCCAGAAGCCTGCCCATGCACCAGGGACAGATCTAATGGGATGTTTCTTATGGTGAACCTTTAATATTCTCCAGTGAGTTGAACCAGGCCTTAGAACTGTGGATTCCTGTGCTTCCTGTGGATGGGGCAGGCCTCTGATGTATGCTGCTTTATAACTAGGGGAACAGATTTCAAGCAGTAATGCACACTTTATAAAATAAAAGCTTTGGCTAGCAAGTGCCCTGCTTTAAAAAAAAAACTTCTATTGGCAATATATATATATATATATATATATATATATAATAAGAGAATGCAAGCATTGACTTGCAGTCCCGGCTTGAAGAGTGGAAAGCATGTGTTGAAAGCTGTTTTTATCACATGCAGCATTCTCGACAGTCTTCATGACAGGCTGCCACATTATGAAACAAGAAATTGCAAAGAATTCCTTCCTAGTAGTTCTAGACTAGTACTAAAATGTTAGACAAAAGCTTAAACGGAATGAGTGAAAACCCCTTTGTGTGATTCGGTATTAATAAGGCAATTATATTTTTATTAATATATTTTATTTCAACTTCAATATTCCTGCTGAAATCTTCTTTTGAAATGAACAAAACAATAAGAACTTGGCTTAAATTGGCTTGGTTCACAAAATAGACATGCCTTCAGAGGCCTGCCTTCCTCCAGGACAAAGCTTCACTTTTACCACAATGTGTGTGCACAGGCTTTTCAACTTCTCTTTTAGAATTACGTTCATTGCTCAGTTTGTCCTGAACATTTTGACCTTCTCAGATTCGTTTATTTTATTTTTTAATTTAATTTGCTCTTTGGCACCTGCGTACGTATATATTATGAATTCTGATTAATTCTCACACCGACTGTCTCCCATCTTTCTTCCTTCCCTGCCAAACTCCCTCTTCCTGGGTAACTTCTTTCCCACTGTTTATGTCTTCTCATTCTGTTGGTGCCCCTCTGGGTTTTGCCAGCTCTGCCTGTGGAACTCTGGGATTGGAACTCACAGTGGAGTCTGGCCAGTATACTGGTGGTCACACAACTGAAGACAGTGGCTATCAGTGGCCCACAATGCAGCAGTGAGGATTAAAGGCCCTGAAGCCCCTCCCAGCCCATGACTAACAGTTGAGAACCGTCTTGTGCCAGCCCAGTGCAGGTAATCTCAACTGCTGGGAGTTATGACCACATGTGGGTACTGTGTCTGGAGGAAGGGATCTTGCTGCCTCCCCCATCTTTCAGCTCTTACATTCTTTGCATCCCCTCCTCTGCATTGTTCCAGGAGCCCCACAGGGATTAGCATAAATGACGTGTTGAGGACCAAACCCTCTTCCAATTCTCAGCATCTTGGGCAGCCGTGAGTCTATGCATTGACTGCCCTTCACTGCGAGGAAAAGCTTCTCTTATTAGAGTTGTGGGTAGCCTTAGTCTAAGAGTATAAACAGATATTTAGAAGGCACATTGACATTTTGTCTATTTAGCTAACCAGCAATAGTAATTTCCCTCATATGATCTATGAACTTCGAAGACAGGCTTTCCTTATTTATTGAAGTTTCTCATACAATATATTTTGGGCATACTTTTTCCTCTCCAAACTCCTTTCAGACCCTCCCTACCCCTACCTATTCACATGACTTTGTTTGTACGCTCTCTCTGTCTCAAAACCTTAGAAAAATAAAAATAAAAACAAATACTTGCTGCTGCTGTTGTTGTTGTTGTTGTTGGTGGTGGTGGTGGTGGTGGTGTGTGTGTGTGTGTGTGTGTGTGTGTGTGTGTTTGTTGACCAATTACTCCTGAGTAAGAGGCCCACCCCAGTGACGTTCCAGTGGAGAAAACTGATTTTTCCCTCTGTCAGTGGGTACCGTTTGCAAATAGTTTCTTGGTCGGGGGTGGAACCCTATGTCCACTTCCCCTCGGTGCTCTGACCCCATCTGACTTGTGCCTGTGCAGTTCTTGTGTGTGCCACCACAGTGTCTGTGAGTCCACCTCTGCAGTCATATTGTTTCTGGAATACACTGACTGGAGTCACCCCAGCACCTCTGATTGTTACCGTCGGTGTCTCCTCTTCCCCAGAGCTCCCTGAGCCATAGGGAAGGAGTGGGAGGTTCCATGTCTCCTCCAGGTCACAGCCACAAATACACCAACAAACAGAGCCAAGCTCAGCCTTGTACCTCCATGGAAATTTAAGTGTAGTTTTTTCTGATTATTGAAAACAATTCTGTAAATTTTTATGGATTTCATTCATGTGTTGTTTGAACATTTTTGAAGGTTTTAAATATTGTGGTTTATCAAAATCAAAACAACAAAACATGATCATCTGTCAACAACAATATCAGAGTCTGTGGTACAAAATGAACATCTGGGGAGGATTGCTGAGTCACACCAAAAGGACCGAGTATGTTTTACAGGGGCTCCGAGAACATCAGATAACATCCAAATCCCATGTAATTCAGATTTAAGCATATTAGACTTAAACTGAAGGCTGCCAAGGACAAGGAGAAAATTTATCATGGAGAAAGCAGCAAGATAAACATTAATTGAGGACTATGGGTGAGAATACAGAGTAATGGACTCACTAGCAACCAAACCAGTAGTAAAAGAGTATGTATGAAAGTATTTAAAGTGTTTAAGGAAAGCATCATTGTTAGAATTCCTAGT